TTCTTGCAAAAAAAGCTGACTTCAAACAGGACACGTATCCATGAAGTAAGATCTCCCCTTACACCCAGTCCCCCTTCAGACCTGGAACAGAGCTCCCCACCAGTAGTCAGGGACACATACTCATTTTGCTGTCTCTCTGACCAACCAAAAGTTTAAGTGTTTCATACTGAATTAACAGTTTCAAGAAGAAAGATAAGGTACCTCAGAATAAGAGGTAAGAAACAAGCCTGGGACCTTACCATAGCGATATCCAGCTGGCTTCTTGACAGAAGTGCAACCAGGTTTAATGATCCCTGATCAGATCAAAACTGGTCAATGAGCACACTGCATCAGCAAAAGCACAAGTTTTATCAATGTAACAAGTGTGATCTGGACAGTATTATCTCATTCAACTAGACAGAAAACTATACAGCCTAATATAGACATCCACGCTTTCTGGACACGGTTTATGAGAGGCTCTTAGTCACATCTCTTCAATCATCTCATATTAAATTATAATACAACCAGATCCCAAACAGCCACTGATAATGAAAAACATGAACAGTGCGAGAAATAACATGATTTAGCATTACACTTGGGAAGTCAGAAGGGTTTATAGCAGAATTTAAAGCATTATCTGTACTTTCTCTGATTGGTGTGGCAAGACCGATTTTTCTGTTTCTCCAGCCCTATGTTAATGCTAGCTAAGTACAAGCCTTGCCTTCCAATACAGACAGATTTTCTTTGCAGCAGACAGGCTCTCTCTCTGTAAGCCTAATTTCAGAAATATCTGACTTTTAAGAGTAAAGCTTTTACCCTGATTCTGACCTGAAGAACCCCTTTTGCTCCCAACAAGTTACTCTTCTAAGATGAGACATAAGGGAAAGAAAGCAAGCTGATTCTCCTTAAACCTCATGAATAAGAGCATTCTCTAATTACTGGGTTCTTGAATATGAGGGAAAATGATTACATCTGTGACCTCTGCACGGTGTGCAACGCAGCAGACCAATGTGTTCAGGGAATATCTGAGTATGTCTCATGAGCAAGAGAAGCTGGTGACAAGTTTTGTTTGTAAATCCTTCAGAGGCACACCACAGTATTTGCTTTGATGGCTTTGCATCAAAGCTCATCAGCAGGA